ATTTACATATGAAAATACTAGCTGCCCCTTCTAACTATACTCGATTTTTTATCCCGGCATTAAACCCCAAGGGGGTTTTCAAGGACTCAGCTGACTGTTCCCAAATAATCTCCTGGATGGCATAGTCGGCAACGTGAGGGAAAAAAAAAAAAAAAATCCCCTTTAGATCCATCTCATCGATTCGGAAAGATAAGAGGGTTGGTTTGCATTTAGGGTGAAGGAGACATTTGTGGGAGCCTTGGATCCATGTCCAGTCCTGCAACCTTGGGACCGGCACTCACCGCCCCCGCCCCGGCGTCCTCCTCGGTCTCAGTCCAGTGGGGGTGCCCGGCTGTCTCCGCCAGCTCCAAAATTCGAGCATTCTAACTTGCAGTCTTTGTGGTACATAGAGAAACTATTTTCATAATAGATGTGCAGGAATTATGTCCAATAGCTTTTGTGAAAAATAATTCAGAATTAGTAAGAAATGTAACATGAGGGGGAGAAGAGTGGGAAAACAGACCTTTTGCATTTCTTAAACATTTACCTTTGCTAATTGGTAAATACGTACATTTCAAATGGACCGTACAGTATGTTTTTCGGTCTATTAATACAAAAAGCTGGCTCTCTGTTACGTATGACATTAAGTAGTAAGTGAATTTTTCAATAGCATACAGAGGCTTACAAAGATTCGTACTTGCAACTATATTTAAACTGCACTGAATTCCTTTATATTTAGGAACAATCTCAGAAATTTCTACATCTCGTTCCAGATTTTTCTAAATGAGGTATTATTTGCATACAGCAAATATGCACCCATTTTAACAGTACGATTCCATTAGTTTTTATACGTGTATGTACCTACAGAACCTTGGATATAGATAGCAATTCTACCCCCACCCCCTCTCAGTCAATATCCCCCCAGAGGTAGCCACCACTCAGACTTTTAATACCATCCCTTTTCCTGTTTTTTGCCCTTCATGTAAACCAGATCATCCTATGTACTCTTTTATGTCCAGCCACTTTCACTCAACTTTGTGATTAGGAGATTCAACCTCGGTCTCAGTAGCAATGGGTTGTTTATTTATTTATTATTTTTTTTAAAACTGCTGAGTGCTATTCCTAAGTATCAGTATACTATACAATTTATTTATCCATTCCGTCGTTGAAGAACATTTAGGTTGCTTCCAATTTTGTTCAATTAGGAATGACTCTGCTGTGAACATTGTTTTACATGTTTCTGGGGGACATAAATACTCATTTTTTTAGGGTGCTACCCACCAGTAGAATTCCCAGATCATAGATTCAGTTTTGGTAGAAACTGTCAGTTTTCCAAAGTGGCCCTACCAACTTACATTCCCTCTGGCAGCTTTTGGGAGTTCCAGATCCTCACATCTTTAACAATACTTGGTATTACAGATTTTCTTGAGCAAAGGAGCAGAACGTGAGAAACTTAAAGTGAGGACTTCAAAATATTTAAAAACTTTAAATTCCTTGAATTATAAGATGCAACCCCCATTTCCCTTATATTGTTGGCTCTACCTCTCATGAATAATGATGAAGCTTTCTAAGTAGGATTTAAAGAATGGAAACGTGCTCTCCACGGTCTTAACTGCATTATGTGCTGAGACTGGAGAAGAGGAGGGGGATTTTCAATATTTCAATTGGTATGATGTTGTCTCCTTCATTCATGTCGGAAAATTCATAGTCAGAGCCTTGAATTACACATTTTATTGTCATCCTCCACCCTTGTTGCTTTTCTTGCTTTATTTGCCTTCTTGTGAACCACTAGCCTGAGGGGAGATGATTCAGGAGGAGGTGGAGGGAAGGGACGCTGGGCAAAAAATAAGTTTGGATTAGATGGGACACCAGACTTGGTGGCCTGATAATCAGATCCTCTTTGATTCTAAAAGTCTAGGTCTAATTGTTGCTGTCATATAAGTTTAGATCGGCTGTCCATTTCTCCTTAGGTACTTCACATCGACCCATAGTAAATTATCTCTGAGGCTGAGTTGTGAACTCTTAGCCTTCCATGAAAGAGTGGCTCTACTTTTTATAACTAAAAAGGCACTCTCAGGAATTCTTGGCTATTAATCAAGATTTTGTCATTGTTGTTGAGTTCTCCTGTCGTTGAACTGCAGAACAATCAGGAGATCAGATAGTAAATGTGGAGGAGGAAGACTTTACTTATATTCCAGAGAGGACTTTGGGTAAGAAAGTTGAGGAGGAAGCATGCATAAGAAAGAAGAACATTTTTTTATCCGATAAAATTTTATTGAACACGTATTTCTGTGCTGGGCACAAGGGGTACAAGGATGAAAGAGACTGAGGATAAAGGAACTTACATATAATAGCTAATTCTGTTCTATTTAAGAAACGCATGGTCAGTGCCTTTCCCCAGGAAAAGCACTTCAGCACAAAGCTGCCTTTGAGTTAGTTAAACCTTCCAACACGGTTGTTCTGACCACTAAATATCTGTAGATGAAAAATAGCATGCTTCCATGAAGGAAACTTCAACCAACTCACAATGGGAATCCCAGGTTTTTTGGTTCCCTCAAACCACTTAAACGTACATATACTGTATTTAATGGTTGTGGGAAAGAAACTGCTCTTCCATTGAAACTAAAACAAATGGACTGTTCTAGAGTTCAATATGGCCATCTTTTAGGTCTTGGGAAGAAGACATTTCCTAAATGGTTCCTTGAGCAAAGCTTATCCACCTCACTTTTCTCCCAAAGAGCATCTCTCTCCCTTGCGAAGCCCACAGGAAGTCTCAGTGCTAGCACTTTCTCCACAGTTCTTTTTGTTCCTGTCATCTTGTCACTCTTCAGTGAAACTCAGCAAGCAGTGTGACAAGAGCCCTTAACGTTCAATGTTCAAGATTACAAGTGTGCCAGCTCCCTAGACACCCACCAGATACTGCCTTCATCTTTGGGTAAAGATTCTGATTTGACAAAAAGCAAATAACCTCAAAAGTATTGTATCGTATCATTTTTCTTGATGTTGAAAGGGACCTTGCGGAGACAGAGTAAGAATTTGGGGGGGCGGATATGAGGGATTGAAAATTAGCTTAGCCTGCTTTATAATTTGTGTATCTTGGTCTTGCCCCCGTGTTCTATCCTTCATTCACTCTGAAATAACAGACTCTTGTGAATCTCACTGTAGGTGGTTTGTCTGAGTAGAGCTTCTTGGTTTTTGTTAGGTGACATGGTGATCTTAAGACTTTTCCATGACTCCCAAAAGAGCCTTAGCTACTGCTGAGTTAGGTAGCCACAGTCATGTGGCCAAAGGTTTTTCTGTCTTTCGGAGGGGGGTGGCCTATGAGCTTTATATGTAGGTGACTTATTTACATGTGGCTGCTACCTTCTATGGCCATACGATCAGTGGTCCTCAAGTGATAAAAGCTTTTGTAGAACTCACTGAAGGTGGTTAATTAGAATCATGCAGTTCTGTTCTATGGGTACCAACACATGTGGAGGAAATTTAAAAATAATATGAAGTACACACACACTGTTCTTTTGTGGCTAGAGGAATTGCATAAGATCCTAAAAGAGGAACTATTGTTATTTTTTAGGTTTAAACAGTAAAATATTTTTTTCGCTGCTGTCATTATAAGTCAAATGGTAGCCAAGAGTCCTCCAAAAAATTATTTACAGTCTACACTAAAACAGGATATTGTCATTATTTATACAAACTGTTATGTTTGGATTATAAGATACTCACTGAACTCCGTCTTCAAATGCTTTGCTACTTGAGTTAGGATTTTCCTAATGGTAGGGATTCTGTTCTTGGAGGCAATGCAGATAGATATATTAGGAATAACAAGACAGTTAGGAAACATGTGTTCTTTCCTCTGGCAGGGAATTTCTCTGTGCTTAAGTTCCTCATTTGTAAAAAGGAGATAAGCAGTCTCTTACTCCTTCATCAGATAATTCCTGTAAGGTACAGCTGCATTCCTTGTTAGGCAGGTGCTTTGCAGAAAGGGAAGTATATAACGTCTGAAGAAATCATTAGGATTTAGAGTCCCAGGATTTTCCTCCTTCCCTTCTTAGACACTTTTGAGCACTGTGTCTAGGACTTGTGTAAGTCCCCCATAGTACTGGTTCCTGCCCTCAAAGAGCTCACAGTCTAATGTTGGGGGTGTTGGCAGGAAAAGGTCAGGCATATTAAAGGGAAATTGCAGTGCAATTTTGGAAATATGCACAGAGACTGATCCTGTAACCCAGACTGAGAAAGTAAGGCAAGGGTTCCAAGCGGAAGTCCTGCCAGAGCCGGGACTAGAAAGGTAAGGAAGAGTTGACAGGGAAAGGGGAGGAGAAGGACGTTCCAGGCAAACTGGACAGCAAGGAAAAGGTAGAGAGGTAAGAAACATGCAGTAGATGGAAAAGTATAGCTCCATTCTGGGTTGCTGAGACACAATGTACAAGGCTTCTGGGACAGAGTAGCTATCATTTGAAAGGTTGTGATTCAGAAAATTGTTGGAAGACTGTTCAGTGGATAGCTTTCAGAAAACATTCTGGGTTACCAGAGGCTCTGTATGTAATGTGTAAGGAGTGTTTTGGTGATGTGATGAGGGACTCGGACTTTATCGTGTAGCCCAAGAGTTTCTGGATGGAATTCGGTTATCCACTGTATTCATCAGGGTGTGTGTGTGTGTGTGTGTTTTGGAGAGAGGATTAATTGTATTCCTCAGATTTTTCAAAGGGGTCTGTGACTTAAAGAGTAAGCACCATTGCTGTAGGTTGTTGAGGGGTTAAACAGAGGGGTGACATGCTCTGATGCGTATTTTAGAAAGAGATTTCTGTAGACAGGATGGATGTCAAGCTGACGGGTCTACGGCAGGGAGGCCAGCTAGGAACTTGTGGGCAGTCGCCCAGGCCAGAGATGACCAGAGCTTGAATTGGGGCAATGGTAATAGAGATGTAGAGCTGCACATAGATTTAGGAATTACCAAGAGGTTAAAATGTCAAGGCTTGGCAACGGCCTGGCTGATGGGAAGTGAGGGAGGGGAGGAGTCAAAGATGGCTTCTGGGTTTCTGGCTTCGGTGACGGTAGCTTTGTTGCCACTACCTGAGAGGGAAGAGAAAGGAGAGGGTAGGTTTAGGAAGGACAAAGGAGAGTTTCGGAAGGACAAAGTGGGTTTAAGATTCCTGGGGCTGCCCAGATATGTAGCGATACACACTGGAGGGACGAATTCAAAACTCATGAGCAAACAGATGGCAGTTAAAATCGTGAGGATTTTCAGAAAAAAGAGCATAGAATGAGTGGAGGGGATGAGACCTTAGGGCTACCCACTTCTAAGGACTAACACTCTTGTATGTCTCCTCCTCTCCAGTAACAGCGCTGACTGTTTCTGGCCACCAGAATGCTGTGTGTGTGTGTGTGTGTGTGTATGTGTTGCAGGGGGTGTTCCCCACACCAAGCAATTCTCAGACACCAGCAGATGTCCTATAATTTCACTCAATTCTGACACTATCTACCTGGAAACAGCATCAGATCCCACAGGTGAGGGGTTCAGATCCTTCCTCTTGCCACTTCAGATGTCCATCCCAGGTCCGGGCTGTCCCCTGGACTTCAACCACGGGCTAGCAATCAGAGGTTTTCATGACCTCCCCTCCTTCAGGTTTGATCAATTTGCAACAGTAGCTTACAGAACTTACACAAGCATTTTACTTACTAGGTTAACAGTGTGTTATAAAAGGCTCTAACTTAGGAGCACCCAGATGAAAGAGATGCATTAGCGTAAGGTGTGTGGGAAGAGGGCGGGGCTTCCACACCCTCTCCGGGAAGCCCTCTCCTCGCACCACCACGTACGGGCTTGCCAACCTGGAAGCTCATCAAATCTCCCAGTCCGAGAGTACTTATGGAGTTTAATCAGCAGCTCCCCTTCTTCCCAGAGGTCAGTGGGTGGGACCAAAAGCTCCCACCCTCTGATTACTTGGTCTTTCTGGCTATCAGCCTCATCCTGAGGCCATCTAGGGACCCCACCCTAAGTCACCTCATTAGCATCAACTCCAGGGTGCGCTCAAAAAGGGCCCACCGTGGATAACAAGACACTCCTATCACTCGGGAAATTCTAAGCGTTTTAGGAGATTTGTGCCAGGAACCAGGACTAGTCAAATATATTTATTATACCACACCAGTCTGGTCTACTGCCCTCTTCTACAGCAGGTGAGGGAAATGGGGTCCAGAAAGGTTAAAGGACTTGCTGAAATTCAAAGTCATCCAAGCAGGTAACTCTCAAAAGAGGGGCTTGGAACTCAGACCTGGTAAGTCTTCTCCAGGTCTCTGTGTTTCCCAGGAGACTCAGCTTGGAGAACCCGAAAAGGAGGCGCCCTGACAGTCTTTGATTTGTTTTATGTCTAAATCCATCACCCTTTCTGTGGAGGAGATTTTTACTTTTACCTAAAATTTTATTTTTGATTGTTGCTAATTTTTTTTTTCTTACCCCCACCCCCACCCCAGCCCTGTCTCTTCAAAGCACACCACTTTGGGGACACTTTTCCAATTCCAAAGCTGTCATCATTGCTCAGACTGTGTTTGGAACTGGACTCTGGGAAGTGCTACCAGGGTTTGGGAATGGATTCTCATTAAGAACCTTAATCTCGGGCGCCTGGGTGGCTCAGTTGGTTAGGCGACTGCCTTTGGCTCAGGTCATGATCCTGGAGTCCCAGGATCAAGTCCCGCATTGGGCTCTCTGCTCGGCAGGGAGTCTGCTTCTTCCTCTGACCCTCCCCCCTCTCATGTGCTCTCTCTCTCATTCTTTCTCTCAAATAAATAAATAAAATCTTTAAAAAAAAAAAGATCCTTAATCTCAATGGTGGCAAATTCTTCCTTTGGCTTTTTAAAAAAGTCAGGTTTATTAAGGTACTATTTTCATATTGCAAATTTTACCCTTTTTAGTGTACGGTTCCCTGAGCTTACCCAACAACTATCATCATATAACTAGCACCACTATTAAGATACAGAACATTTCCATTCCCCCCAAAACTTCTCTTATTCTTCTTCATAGTTAATCAACCCCAATACCCATCTCCAACCTCTGGTGACCAATAATTTATTTTCTGTCCCTATAATTTTTCCTTTTCCAGAATGTCATGTAACTGGAATTTTATACTATGTAGACTTTTGAGTCTGTTTCTTCACATAGCATAATTATTTGAGAGTTATCCATCTTGTTACATATGTCAGTACTCAAAAACCAAAACTCAGTCAAGTACCGTTGAAGATCTAGTAACTTTTATTAAATGCTTCATGAATTGGACAGCACCCATCTAACGATTAGAGGGGAACTCCGGGAGCTATACAAAACAGAAGGATTTTATAGATAGACATGGGATGGAACAGTTAGCAAAAGAAAAGAAAAGATTGCTTCACACAAGGTCACCTTCCCTTAGGGAGACATACAGGGTGTCTTGTTAGGTGGATTACTTCATCTTTCTTTGGGGCATGGAGAGGGCCCTTGTGACAGATTAACTCATTGGAGCTGACCAGAAAATTTCTGAGTGGCTAGTTAAGACTACATTTCTAGGGAAGGTTGAAATTGCCATTAGGTTAAGTATTAAGCCCTGGTTTGGTGACTTGGCCATAGCATGAATAACTCTGTTTTGGGCCTGTGGTTTTCTTTTTAACAGTCCTTTTTTCCATTCTTTTGCTGAGTAGTATTTCATTGTTGGATGTGCCACAGTTTGTTTATCCATTAACCAGATGAAGTTCATTTGTTTGCTTCTAGTTTTTGGCAGTTATAAATAAAGCTGCTATAAATAATTGAATATAAGTTTTGGTGTGAGCATTGGTTTTAATTTCTCTTGGGTAAACACCTAAAAGTGGCAGTGTATTGCTGGAATGTATGCTCAGTGAATATTCAACTTTATGAGAAACTGCCAGTTTCTCAAAGTGATTGGACCATTTTTCATCCCCACTAACAATGTGTGAGAGTTGCAGTTGTTCAACATCATTGTCATCACTTGGAATGGTCAGTTTTTTGTCTTTGTTTTTTAACCCTTCTCATAGGGGTGTGACAATGTGTCATGGTGATTTTAATTTGCATTTACTTAATGACTAATGATGTTGGTCATCTTTCTATGTGCTTAATTGTCATCCTGTATTATGTTTGGTGAAGTGTTTCCTAAGATCTTTTGCCTATTTTTTTTTTTAATCAGGTTGTTTGTTTTGAAAATACTTTTTTCCAGTCTATGGCTTCTCTTTTCATTTTTTTTTTAAGGGAGCTTCTCTTGGGGAGCAGAAGTTATTAGTTTTGACGAAGTCCACTAGTGGAAAAATTAGCCCTAGACTAAACACTGCTCTGGTCCTACCTAACTGAGCTTAAAGAAAGACCTGAAAGGAACAAAGTGTCTACAATGAACTTAACTACATCCCATAAAAATGTTCAAAAATATGTAACAAATACATCTGACACCAGGTGAAATTCACAATGCCTGGTTTCCAGTCATAAATTAATAGACAAACAAAGGATTAAAAATTCAACCCACAGAGAACAATCAGTCATCCAAAAGGGACCCAGTAATGACATAGAATATAAAATTAGTAGACAAGAACATTAAAATAGTTGTTATATTATATTCCACATGGTTCTGAAACTAGAGGAAAGATTAGACATGTTAAGCAGGAACACAGTAAATATATTTAAAAAAATCACAGAAATTGGACTTCTAGAGATGAAAATTGCAATTACACTGGAAGGAGTTGACAGCAGATTGACTGCAGAAGAAAAGATTAGTGAACTTGAAGACAGCAATAGAAATAATCCAAAATGAACAGAGAGAAAAGACAAAATAAAATGAACAGAGAATCAGTGAGAACTTCAGCTGGTCAAATAGACATGTAAGTCTGCTGTCAGAATGTATCCTTTTTTTCTGGATGCTTTTAAGAGTTTCTCTTTATCATTGGCTTTAAGCAATTTGATTATAATGTACTTTTTGTAGTTTTTTTTCTGAGTCATGTGTTTGGGTTTTGTTGGGATTCTTAGATCTGTGGGTTTATCATTTACATCAGATTTGGACATTTTCTCCATTATTTCATCAGCTATTTTTTCTGACCTCCTTTTCCCCATTCTTTGCAATGATATGTATATTTGACCTCCAAAAGTGAGTAAAATATAAGACTTTTTATTGTCTAAACCCCTGTGAAAGATAATTGACTGTTTAAGGCAAAATAATAACAGTGACTTGTTTGGTTTATAACTTATGTTGAAGTGCAATGTATGATAGCAATAGTATAAAACCTGGGAGGGATGAAATTGAAATATACTATTGTAGGATCCTTATATTATATATGAGGTAGTATAACAGCACTTAAAAGACTGCATTAAGGTAAAGATGTATACTATAAACCTTAAGGCAAGTGCTAAAATAACAAAACAAAGCATTATGGCTAATAATCCAAGAAATGAGATGAAGTAGCATCATAAAATATCCTCACTTATTCCCAAAGGAGGCAGCAGATTGACTGCAGAAGAAAAGATTAGTGAACTTGAAGACAGCAATAGAAACAATCCAAAATGAAGCAGGCAGAAAAAGAGGAAAAGGGAAAAAAGAAGAGATGGAACAGATAGAAAACAAAGAATAATATGATAGATTTAAACCTAAGCATATCAATAATTTTATTAAATTTAAATAATCTACACATCACAATTAAAAGGTTGTCAGACTTGGTAAAAAAAAAAAAAAAAAGCAAGTCCCAACTATATGGTACATAAATAAAGCCAAACTTGGATATGAAGACACAAAAACGTTAAAAGTAAAAGGATGGGGAGGAGGAAATCCCATGTCAACACTAAGCAAAAGCTGGAGAGACTAAATAACAGACAAAGTACATTTCAGAGCAAAGAATATTAGTAGGGGCAAAAAGTCATATCATAATGCTATAAGGCTTGGATCATCAAAAGGACATAAAAATCTTAAACATTTATGCATCTAATAGCAGAGTTTGAAAATACATGGATCAAAATCTGATTGAACTGCCAAGAGAAATGGACAAATCCACAGTTATATTTAGAGAGTTCAACACTCCTTTGACAATTGATAGAAAAAAAAGAAATCAGTAGTTTATAGAAGACTTGAACAACAGTATCA